TATAATTGCCTAAAACTCTGCACACTCATCGCCATATTCAGAACCACACGTCCCCAATGACCACACAAAATGCTCTCCAGAGTAATGTTGTCACCAAACTTGGAAGCAGGGGTGCAAGTGATTTTGATCGATTCTCTTCATCAACTTTCTGTTTCGTTAATAACTCGACGGCAAAGACATTCATTGATACGTTTGTTGTTCTGGATGATAGAAGAGAAATATAATGCGAAATAGGTTAGGGAAGCCATGTTCCTTAAGAGACGAAATCGATGAAGAGAATTGACTTTCACCCCTCTGCTTCTAAACCCCTTAATTCAGTCGTCATAGCATGAAAACTACCATCACACCGCTTTTGCTTCTTGAATTACACTTGTTGGTTGTAATCCTGCAACCAAATTCCTTAAAATTTTGCCCAGTTGTTGGGGACCAGAATAAGCATTGAAAGAGCAGTGGGGAACCCACTCTAATGTAAACATTTGGAAAAATGGTGATGAAAACAGCAAACCGTAACAAAACATTGAGGTACTTTTTAGAATATTCATTATGCATCCCCTTGAATCCCCCTATGAATTGTAATAAAATTACGTTGAGATTAGCTGCTTATACCTGCTTACATGCAAGATACCCCCCTTACAGATAGTGTTTAAAAATTATAAAAAGGGTCTTAAATCCTTAAAACAAAGAGATAGCCATTTTTTTTTGCAGCGAAAATGTGCAGTTTAAGAGCACTTACAGCTTTGAAAAACATTGAATAAATGTTAAATTCAAACTTAATTATGGTAAAAAACGGTTTTTAAGGGGGTACTACCGCTTGTACTACATTTTCACCTTATAACTTCATCCATGGAAAATTGACGTCTTAGACAAAGTTCCTCAAAATGACTTCATTTACAATATTTCCATAGATAATCATCAATTTCAACAACACAATGTTTTTTTATTAGTACCTCCCTTAAGCAAAAAATTTCAACACTGCAATAAAGTATTTAAAAATTGAAGAAACATTCTAGAAGACATCAAAATGCTCTTCTCAATAGTTTTGTCGCCATTTCCCTCTTTTTTTGATTTCGTCTCACTGTGCATCGGCCCTTTTCAAGGCCACCAAGATTTTCCAAAAGAGTTAAATTTCTGAACATGTCCTAACTAAAATTCATATCAAAAGGTTTTTTCAGGGCAATCATAGTCATACTAAAGAGTATACACATAGAGAATCTCCCTTAAATTCCTATTCCTACACAAAACACAAGCTCATGCTGCAGTTAACAAATAGTATTTATTATATAAAATCACGTAGTCCTACGTCCCCATTGCGTACAACCCCATAGGGCTGTCCTTTGTAGTTTTTGTTGTTGCTGTTGTCACTTTAACGCTCTTGGGTCATTCGTGACTTGTCCAAGGGTGAGATTTGAACACGTGACTTTGGCGTGAGAGGTATGGATGCTATCCATTACGCCGGGGTCGCCCCCACCCCGTTCAGGGGAAAAATAAAAAAAAAAAACAATGTTTGGTTTAACTTTGATAAACATTTTCAGGGAAAAAATGATTAAAATCGTAAGCAAAATCACTAGAGAAGGTACTGAATCACTTCAGAAAACTTTGGACTCACTTTAAAAAATGCTGAATAACTTTAGAAATGTTTTCAATCACTTCGGAAAATCCTGAATCACTTCGGAATGTATTTGAAATGTTCAAAATCACTTCGAAACGTATTGAAACGATATAGAATAGTTTGGAATCACTTAAGAAAGTACTAAATCACTTTATAAATGTCAGGAGTCACGTCACACTTTAGAAACATTTTAAATCATTTTGGAAAGCACTGAATCATTGAGGAAAGTTCACTTCAGAAATAATTGAATCACTTCGGAAAATACTGAATAACTTCAGAAATGTTCGGAATCACTATGGAAGTACTGATTTGCTTTAGAAAATTCATGATCACTTCGGAAAGTACTGAATCATTTCAGAAAGTACTGAATCACTTCAGAAAAATTCGGATTCTCTTCAAAAAGTAGAAAGTTTAAAATAGCTGAAGTACCGAATCACTTCAGAAAAGTTCATAATCTCTTCGAAATCACACTTGAATCACTTCAAACAATTTCGGATTCACTTTGGAAAGTACTACTACTACTAAGCTGAATCACTTGTGAAAAGTTTGAAATCACTTCTGAAAGTACTGAACCTCTTAAGAAAACCTCGGAAATTCTTGAATGACTTAAGAAAATGTCTGAATCTCTTAGGAAAATACTGAATCTTTCCAGAAAGCTTGTGATCACTTCCGTAAGAACTGAATCATTTTGGGAAGAACAGAATCACTTCACAAAACCTCGGCAAGTACTGTATCAATTCTCTCAAGTTTGCAATCACTTCCTCAAGAACTGAACTACTGTAGTAGCTGAATCACTTCAGAATAGTTTGAAATCTCTTCAGAAAATGTTATATCACTTCAGAAAAATCCGAATCACTTTGTGAAGCCCAGAATTATTCATAAAAAGTTGGAAATCTCTTCGGAAAGTACGGAAACATTTTAGAAAATCATGGAATCTGTACTGTAAGACTGAATTACTGCATAAAAGCTTGAACTCACTTCAGAAAGTGCTGAATGCGGTTGATACTCCTTTTATTGCCAGGTCATCTGTGTTACACAGAGAAGCAACAAACGATGCATGCATCTACAATGTGTAAAAATGGGTGATCTCATACTTTACAATAGGCAATAACACCACCGACCGCGTCCAAATGTAGGTCAATCAAGGAATGGAAACGAATGTGTTGACGTGATTCTAGCTTTGTTGGAAACCGAGAAATCTTCCTCACATTCACGAATTTTTCAATACTTTTTCAACAGGATTCACTTAAGGACACATCGAAATAGGTCTCGATTTTGGCAACATAGATGAAGTATAGCCATCTCTCCACAACTCGATGTCCACTAACTCGATATCAATTTATAGAACTGTCAAAGATCTGCGTTTTTTTCAGAACTTTGTTTTGCCCACGGAAAATGTCTAGAAATGAATCCCATTTTTCCCTGAAATTAGAAGAAAACCGAGTATGATATAAGATAAATATGAAATCAAAAATGATGGTGCTTGGAAAATTTGGATGGAACTTTTAGAAATTAAGAATAATTTAAAGAAGGATAAAGGGACTTTGCAGATGTTCAAGGAACCGAATGCCACCTTCGCCACCTGTAGAGTAAGGTGCTGCTCATCGTGCAGCAGCGATAAAGTGCAAATGTTTTGCAAAGTACCATATTAACTAGATCATACACTATTTTTAACAACGTCATCATTGTCAGGGGCGGACGCATCGTTATTTTAGGCAGCTTTTTATTTCAAGGGTGCAAAGTGGGTTGGGTACGACTACTAAACTCAAATTTCAGGAACACAGCACTGCCTACCGGATTACACATACCTACAGGCCTGTATATGAGCTTATATGTATGAGTGGCGCACTTGGTCTGAAGTTTAAAAATAAAAACATTTTGCACAAATGTCTAATCGATTTTCGATTTACGACAAAGTTGTTCTGCATTGTTTTTTCAATCTAAGTCTTATGTATGGTCCAAATTGCAACAATTTTTGAATTTTTGACCAGCATACGAATAGTTTCAACCCGACATAAGTTTTAAAGATCTCCCAAAAATGCAGATCATAAGCAGATTCATCCAAATTTGGCACAGTTGTTGAGGACCTCAATACAGATCGAAAGAACTATTCAAACTTGATTCACCTTAATGGACGTAATAGAATAATAAGAGCTGGATTTGTTTGAATAAAATATATTGTTTGATTCAAATCAAAATATCTCAAATACATCTCAATATACCTCTCAGATGTTTTAAGGAAGCAAAGTGTTTTTCATGTAAATTTTGAATAATTGATGACAATGCGTTCACTTGCGCAATTTTTAGAAAATCCATTTAGAAAATCATGAATTTTTTGCAAATTTCTTGTGATAAGGGACATGGATTAAATGTCGGCCTAAATGCCCCTAATTTGGGCTCATACATAAATTCAGCAATCGACTAAATTTTCAATAGCGACCAAAAATATCCATTAGTACCGTGTTAATGACGCGTTCATCTAGATAAAATTGATCATTAGCAGATTTTCAGCGATGGGCCCAATCTTAGATCCATAGGCCAACATTAGAGCCATTTCCCCTATCTCAGTTGTTTGCTCAGCTTTTATGTCTTCAGCTACTTCCATAAAATTTTACGTTCTACAACTTTGCCGAAAGCAGAAAACCTCTATGTTGTGAAATAATTTTTTTTGTATCACTGCGCCCTCTTTGCGTCCAAAACTTGATTTAAATTAACCCACCAAATTGTTGTCCTAATTAATCCAAGGAACTGAAAACGTCAACTCAACACCAGAGCGTTATTCTTTTGTTCCTGCTAGATTTAATTCCTGGTTCACTGTTCATTGTTCGCTGCTGTCAAATACCCGTAGAAAAATTCACTTGTACACAGCATTAATAGTATTAAACGGATATGCGCTATAATAAAAAAAAAACATAGTACGTATATTCGTTATGAGTTAGGCAAAACAGTTCAAAACCTATCATGCGTTACCTTAAATCACATGAGAAATCACCTTGATTTTTTATTAGCAAGAAGGGTCAGATTTTATCATTGCAGGATTATTTCAGGTTTTTACCTATGTTCTCTATAAAATCGTGGGTGAGACAAGCTTTGATCACCCAGATATTTTTGAGCGTCCCACCCATTCCTCGCGCCTGTGATTAGCACCAACCAGAGGATGTAAGAAATCCACACTTACATTTGCTGTGCATGCCATTTGCTTTGCTTGAAGAACCAAAAACACTAGCACTAGTGCCAAATCTGGCACCCTTACCCTATGCAATAACTCAGCTTTATCTATTTTCGGAGGCACCTTGAAGAATCAACGCTTATTATTCCTAATCGTCCATGCACTGTAACCGCCCATCACCGCCAACCGTTCTAACTAGAACACAAAACTGTTAGCACTCACGTTTCTCCTTCAGCTGCGGGAAATCCTTATTCCTAATGGCAATCTCCTTGGCCTGAACTGCAGCCACGAACAACAGCAGCACTATCACCATCTTGGCCCTGAGCGTGGCTTCGACCGAACTGGGTAACGACAGTTGCCTTATCGACGAGTGCACGTTCATGATCAACACCGAACCAATTAGATTATGCTTTAGTTTGACACCTTGTACTAGGCAGAAAACTTCTAGAACGTTGGCTCCGTTTCGACCCACTCACAGCATCCGAGCACCGACGACACACAGTTGCTTAGTAAGTTCTTTGGAAACCGAGTACGTTGCACAATCAACTCTCGCTCTAACGGCCGACCGCACACTGTGTAGGGTATTCGCTTGGCACAGGCATATAAATCAACACCGGATCGTAACTTCCAGTTTTTCTGCAGCCTCAATTTTTCGTCGCTGCAACCGAGTCAAAGTTCTGGCACTTGTCACAAGGCTCCGCAAGTTGGTTTTACGTTGCTGCGGGCTTTGCGCAATTTTTCTCCTTCTAGAAGAAACAAACTGCACCGTCTTGGCACCGGAACACGCTGACAAACGCAAAGGTGAATGCACTGTAAGCTAATTTCCACCACCGCCACCACAAAACACGCAACCGACGAACCCGATCGGCACCGGATCTCTTAATGGGATGAGCGTGTCACACTTGGGGTTTTCTCGAAGCTTGAAGATTTTCAGCGGTTACGCAAAGAAGTTTGATTTTATGGTGCTAGATAAAACTCCGTTCGCTGGCAGCTACGTATCGATACGACGGTAAGGGTACGTCGGTTGGTTGGCTGGTTTATGCGTCCGAACCCGTGGACTGCTGATGAAGTAATAAGTTGAAATTTTTCGATGAACGCTCCATGCCGGTTGACGAGTTGCAGCCAGCGTTGAAGGTAGGAACGCCTTCAGTGAGTCTTTCTGTTTAAGCAATTCACATGCAAGGGGAAGGAGTGATGCATTACAACTCTGCGTGGTGTGCAAAATGTTTGGGTTGGAGTTTGGAGTTTGCATGAAAATATGGAATTCAATGGCTTTTAAATTACCGTTCCGCTTGGATTTTCGATCATTATTTTGAGCAAAACTGGCAACTATTTGGCAGTTAGAAGCTGTTCGGAATTTGAGTCGGAACGGTACCTAAATAGGGATTGATTAGCTTAAATCGTTTTTCTACTATGCCATAATTCACCTAATTAGCTAGATTGAACTGATAAAAATCAATGAAAACAAACATCCCCTCAAATCGAGAAACAGTGCAAGATCTTTGCACTTAGTAGTCGTAAAGTGAAAGGTTATTCGCACGCGTCTCTATTTGTGCATGCATCTCATGGCAGCAGTATGCTAATTCGTCAAGTACCTAGGCATGGACAGGGTAAACGATGAGCACCCGGTTCTCAAGGTCGATGATGTGCTGCCAATTCTAATGCTGTCGAATTCGATCGAATTACAAGCAGTGCTAACGGTTTTTGCATCTTGCCATTTGCACTGCATTCCAAGTGGAAATGTAAGTGGTATTTGAGAAACTCTTGGTGACTTGGGCGTGTGGTCCCATTGACCTTACCGGCTCTTGGTATTGGCACTTGAAATTTGAAAGTGATTCGATGGTTTGTTTACAACATTTCTAGTTCATTGCCGAGAGCCCGATGTGTGTGGTGTAGCGCCAAGAAACAATAGGAAATTTATGGAAACGTGATGAGGACACAGATTCTTTCAACTTAGTTTTTGTGTGGATGTAAAATGCTGCATTGTTTTTTGGAACTCTTTATTGGTTCTAAATTCAAATCAAATTGCCATGTCAGAAACTACAGTATCTTACCAACCTTAATTGTTATGATATATATGTAAGTGTGTTTACATTGTTTCTCCCTTAGTAATTTAATATTTTAACAGGTTTTCTAAAGCTGCATGCCAGTATAACAATTGTCATTTTAAATCTAAAAACTTAAACTTAATCTAATCTACATATGAAAGCGAATGTTTTAATTGAGGATTGCAACGATTTTTGCCTGAAATTATTAATTATTTTGTTGGAAATTTGTTCTAAATCAAAAAATGCACAAATGCACACAATGATTTACTGAACATTTCAGCTGATTTCATGGTACTTATTAACCTTTCTACAGCAGCTTTTCCGATGATATATGGTACAATTACGCTTCAAAATGGTGCAAAGTGGTGCATACTAAGGAGCATTTTCAAATGCTTAATGAACAGTTTTCTCTATTTTATTGAGCGTACTTTAAATATTTACTGAGCATTTTAAGATTTTTAACGTATTTGATCAATCATTTAAGGAGCAAACCGATCTATTTTAAGGAATTTTTTTTTACTTATTAAGGATAATTTCATCTTCTTTAATGAGCAAAAGTAGGGCTGCCCGAGCTCCGTTGCTACACAATCCTTCCATCTTCGGCGGAAGGCCGACCCCGCACAACGAACGTCAATCATTAGTCAACCAGCCCTTCTGGGAGCCGGCGAAGGAAACGGATTTGCACCGCCCGAGTATCATCCGTCGGAAAACTGGAAACGAACACCGGCCAGAACACACGTCGGACTGATGAAGGACGCACCGCTGACCCGAAACGGACCAATGAACTTCATTCAACCGGCACAGAAACAGGGCGCAGTGATGATGGTCTACGGACTCGATAACAACACAGCCAACACCGATAAGCTGTTCAATCTGTTTTGCCTGTATGGAAATGTTGTCATGATCTCGGTCAGGATATAGTTCCTGAAGACCAACGAAGGTACTGCCATGGTCCAGATGGGAGACGCCATCGTTGTTGAACCAGCCGAATGCAGCATCCAGCACTTGAACAACATCGAATGAATGGAAATGATGGTAGCAAAATTCAAATCGCATTTTCCAAGCAGAACTACTTGTCAGAGTCCACCAACCCGTACACCCTGCCGGACAATTCGATCAGCTTCAAGGTCTACAGCACCTCCAAGAACAATCGTTTCCCAGACCAGCAAAAATCGCATTCTCCAATTCTTCAATACCCCACCCGTATGCCGTCCGAGGATCTGCTGCTGACTGCCTTCACCACCAAGGACTGCCACCCGTCGCAAGTGCGAATGTTCCCGCTGAAATCGGAAAGTTCCTCCACTGGATTGGTCGAGTTCTTAAGCAACCCTGGCGAACGCCATCATGAAGTGCAACGGTGCGTGGAGCAACGAGAACATCGAAAACACGTTAGCTTTGAAAGAGCGGAAGTTTGTTTTTCTGAGAACAGAAAGGATTTTCCTTTTCCTGTGTAGTTAATTTTATAATTCGTTACTATAGGTAATTTCTTATTGTGTTGGAAGTGCAAAAAGTCATGAGAGTAAAAATAATTTGTTGCACTATTTGAGATTTTGCCAAGACGGTCCTCCAACATTATACGTTGAACGATGGAATCGTTGGTGCAGCAGCCACCGCCATGGATGTATTCGAGCAGTTTGAATGGTCAGATGGTATAGTTTTTGTTTGGTTGTTGACTTTCCGATTAAATCTCAAACGCCGCTTGTTAAGACCATACCGAGATTTCCAGCGTCCACCACGGCTATACGAATTAGCGATGCAACTCCCGCTGTTGCTTCCAATGCTGCTGCTGCTGCTGCTGCTGATCCTTCTGCTGGTCCGTCTCCTGTAAAATTCGCCAAAAAAGACGGACCAGCAGCAGCATTGGAACCAGCCGCAGCCGTGGGAGCTGCATCGCTAGTTCGTGTAGCCATGACCGGAAACCTTGTTCAGGTCAAGATACCGATGTCAGCTGTTCTTCGTCTGGGAGGAAATGTGGATGCGACTGCCGTCACGGGTGTAACGATTTTGAGAATCCATGGCGAGATTTGGTGGAGATTCACGGTTGTTTTGAAAATAATTTGATTATTTTGTGAGATCAAATTGCCAGTAACTTTAAAGATCATAAAAATTGTAACCATTGCACCCACAGCACCAATGACTTCGCCCGGGTGTGCCCAAGTTTGATCTTGGCACACTGTGTAGAGTGACCAACCCTTTGATCTAGTTCTACGTTCCTGTTATTTCCCGCTGGTGGTGGATGGTAGCTAAAAGCTTCAGCTGGATTTTTATCCGGCTTCAGAATTGGAACAACTTTTGCATTTTTCCATTTATCAGGAAAGAGAAATTTATTTATATTTTCGTCTATATGGAGATCTTGCGAATATTTGCTACTGTCTAGGAAGGATGTTTGATAGAATATCCTGTAACATATACAACGTTTTCTGAACATCTACAAAACTCCCTTAAGTTATACAAAAGTTTCGCAACTTCTTCGACGTTCCCTGAACTAATTTCATATTTTTTACATCTCTCTTGATTCTACAAACATCTCTGAACATCTTTGTACTTATGGAAACATACCTAAGATATATAGCAATATTCATGAACATCTAGAAAGTTCATTGAAATTTAACGACGTTCCCAAAACCTTCAAGAAGATCATGGAGCTTTAAGATCTCTGACAAACTGTAACTTAGGGGCAAGACAGCTCCTAATCATGAGCAATTTCTGAGTTGCTTTTAATGCACTTCGAGTATCAAATTGTTCACATTGCTCAGTGAGAAATATCACTGTCATTTGCTTTCTCACTTTTCGCATCACAGCAACATATGAAGGTGCACCTTCTTGCAAAGCCGAAAAGCTGCTGTCAATCAAAACAACAATAAAGAAAAAAAAAAATATTTACAGAACTCAATAACTCAGTGAAACTCAGAGACGCTTAAATTGATTGATTTGATTATCCTGCATAATCTCTGCTTAATAACCTTCGTTCAACCCTTACCAACTGTGAACGTGAACGGAACCTATTGCTGCCTAGCTGACTTAAACTTACCAAGGGCGAATGCTTCTCCGGCTTGATATGGTGGAATAGCTCGATCTGCCTGACCAAATACTGAAAATCCGGCAAATTACGTATCCCGCACGTACTACAATGCTCGTCGAAGCAATCCCGTTTCCATGGCTTGGCAAACTGCCGCTGGATGAAACTGCGAACCGAGCTCTGAATTACCGCCGTGCCGTTCTACTGACGGTCGACATCCATCATTCCTCTTTTGGTGCTTATGCTGTGCTTTCCGGATGATCGTGATACGGTCCTGTTTCTGCGATACACCACCGTGATTTTGCTGCGGCCGTCGACGGCAGTCTTCTTTGAAGTAGAACATCACTACATACGTGTGTCTCCATCTGTTTTATGAACAGCACTGACGTTATCGAGTGATTGGTAGCGATCTTGTGAACTTGATCACGTCTCATAACGATCCTGTACTTGGTTTAACTTTTTTTTTTTTTTTTTTTTTTTTTTTTAACTCTTTATTTGTTCCAAATTCAAAATAAATTACATTTCATTTTTAACCTAGGTGCTTTAGTTACTACAGTAACTTACCAGCCTTAATTGTTATGATATATATCTAAGTGTTTTTACATTGTTCCTGTCTTGGCAATTCAGTATTTTAAACAGGTTTTTTAAACCTGCATGTCAGTATAACAATTGATAGCTTAAAACTAAATAACTAAAACTAAATCTTATCTAAGTATAAAGGTAATTAATCGTTGCAATTGAGGATTGTAACGATTTTTGCCGGAAATTA